GTAACGTCGAATATCGATTTATATGTTAAATATAATATATAAAAGACAAAGGAGTGCTGAAACTTTAACAAATAATAATTATTATTACTAAACTATTATTGCCAAAATATCAATGTACAGTCTCAGAGTTTGAGTTTGTGGGTATGTGGGTATATGCATGTGTATACTTATGTAGTTATTTGTATGTAACATCATACTCGTGAATGGGTGCTGCTTGTGGGGACTAGTCTGTTCGGGTTACGAACACTGATTCGACTATTTGCATTTGTAATAGTATAGGCTTGTGGTCATTGTAATTTGGATTTTGAAATTTGAAATTAAAAATGACTCCCAAATTTGAATTTAAAAATTAATCTGTATTATTGTTAACATGTACAACATTTATTTGAAAAGAATACAAGCTGAGTTTCTTGTCAGTTCTTCTCATCTCGAAATCATTCCGCGACCTGACGGCAGATTTGATATATCATAAGAGTCTGGAATAGACATACATGAATATAGATATTTTGAAACAGAATTTGAATTTAATACTTTTTAACCAAATCCTCAAAGGCATCGCTAAGATATATATATATATAACTTTACAAGTTAGAATGAAGATACTTCCGTTTTTATAATGTCAGTTTGTATTACGTTTGGTCGGGATTCCATTATTCACTGTAACCCAAGAACTGTTATCATCAATCACAGATACAATCAATATGGACTTTGGAAGTGAGTTAAAACTTTGCAAAACTTTATCAAACTTTGTGCAGTCGTAACTCACTCTTGCCCATCTACAGCAATCAACAAAGTCTACATTCGAGTTTTTCACAATTTGATCGTTTTTGATTAAAAGTTTGAAATTATTTCACTGCTCGGACTGTTTGAATCATTTTATTTTGTTTATTTCCGCAACCAATTGTAGCGGAATTAAAAAAATAATATAGATCCATTAAGTACTGCAATGGACTTCCGCAAAATTACACCAAATTCGATTACAAATCCGCTATGCATGTGTGAGACCACAAATATTCAGTGCGAGAACTTGAGTACCGGTACAGCGAGAACTTGACTACCGGTACAACCTTTTCTAATGGTGATCAAATTCGAACCGTTCTTGCGATACGGCTTTCGCGCCTCTGAACGCCTGGCTTCATCAGGCATTGAATAGAGCTCGGATACAGTTTAGAAGTCTAGTTATTAGACCAAGACGAAGTCGCAATTTGATCACCCAATAGTCGACACTAGGCTTCCAAGATATTTGCGAACTCTATTCATTACCTGATGATGCCTCATATAGAGGCCATACACGTGTAACAATATGAGCGTAGACTCAGTAATCGTCAAAATTTTATCACCATTAAAGACGGCAGTCAAGTTTCCACACTGAATATTTGTGAACTCAAACATGCTAATTATAGCAGAATTAAACAAAATAATTCAAATTCCTTTAATAAATATAATCACATATTATTTTTAATATGTTTAATTCTCCGCTATAAAGTTAATATGGATTAGTTACGATACGATATCCATTAAATTAATGGAACGCTTTGATATTGGATTTAATTAAGTCAACAGCAGTCGCATTATCAAATTTGTGTAATCAATTTCCTCAGTTCTGTTTGTTTCAGAATTGGAGAGCTCCAATTCCTATACCCGATATGCGGTTCGTATTTAGTGGTCCAAAATACGGCATAATGAATGTATAACTTCTTCATGTGTTATTTGATAATGACAATGTTTATATGTTTACTAGCTACTCGCCCCGGCTTCGCACGTACATGTATTATATATATTAACCTTCCTCTAGAATCGCTCTATCTGTTAAAAAATAAGCTTCAAAATCCGTTGCGTAGTTTTAAAGATTTATGCATACATAGAGACTGACAGCGACAACTTCTTTATTTTATACTGTGTAACGATGATAATGATATGTAGATTTATAATAACATGGGTTGACTGAGCTAAATATGGGTTGTATGATGTTAAGGCACAGAACAGAAACGTAAGTAATAAAAATAGAAATAATCTTCCTTCAAATGAAATTAATGCAAGCACTTTTGAATACCCATATTTTTTTATTCTACAGAATCATTTTCTATAGTTTTTATTTTCTTTTCTACAGAATCATTATTATCAATTGGTTCATGCCTAATTTAAGAGCTACACTCTTGTCTGCGGAGCTCTTGCCACTTCCCACGATCTTCCATCATAAGCGTTATTACAAGAAAGTGTTTTATACAATTAGATTCTTATTTCTGGTAAAATAAAAAAAAACAATCACTTAAGTCACAACCATCGCTAACACGCAAAAATAAAGTGTAAAGGGCTACATAATTTGTAAGAAATATGATGTCAACTGAAAGTCAATGATAGTTAAATGTCAAATATTGCGTACGTATTAACGCGAATTCTATTCATATGCGGTTTATAACATATTTTCACAAATATAAATTATGATTATAATATAACAGATGAGGGTAGATATTTCTTATGTCGTATCTTAGACCACGTATATAGTGAATATAGGGAAAGGGACGAGACCACATTAATTTGATTTAAATGCTATGTACTTACATTTGGCAAGTGTTTGCGTCCATAAATTTTGTGCTACAACCTCTATGAGCTTATGAAAATATATGTTTACTATCAATTTTATTTCTGTAATTTGAATGGTAAACAATATGACGGTATACCTGATGGTAAATTATCGCCTTTATAAGTAAACATCACTACATAGACCATAAAATGTAATAATCGTCATGACGCCATTGATATGTCTGTCGGACCCGATGATCACGGGTTCGATTCTCACACGGTTACAACCAACATTTTAAATTCATGAGTAATAATAATAATCTGAATATTCAAAAGACCTTTCATTAAGTTTATTTAAATAAAGGTTACTTCTATGACAAGAACATACATAGTGAGCTAGTTAGCGGCAGATTAAGGTGTCCACTCAAAAGACATTGTACAAAGTTAGGTTTAAGTTTATACCTATTTCTATTCTTTTTGTTCTGTTTTCGATCAATTGCAACTCCAATAATTGTAAACTGTAAGAGGACGAAACTGGTACCTAAAATACAAGTACCTTAGTTTCAAAAAAAAAAGGTACCAGGCATAAATGTTAAATGTACATATTGCATGAAAAATAAATTCTTATTTAATATGACCTCAGTATGTTTAAGACATACATTTATCAAGATACATTTATACATTTTAATAATATATTTTAGTTAGTGTATTATATTTTTTAAATTTTTTAATTTTAGGTTGTAGTTGTATAATTAAGTTATGTAAATTATATAATTAGTTAAGTATTGTTGTCTTTAAAATTAAATATTTATCGTTTAAATAAAAAAAAAAACTAAATATATATACATATATTACTATGTTCTAGGAAGACATTATTAGAAACAGTATTTAATAGTTATATATATCAGTAAAATATATTCGGTTATTTATCAAGATATCTTGATTTACAAGTAATTTATAACTCTAGCCTGTAGTACATTTAAGGTCTAATTTACTTAGGCGATCCATTAGTTAAATACCTGCTACTAATCATATTCCTTCATCTGCACCATTAACGTTGCTAATAACGGAAATAGCTTTTGATCTTGGAATTACGACAGAGATATTGGGGACTTTTATTTGTTTGTTTCGTCAAACTTGTAATGTAGTGTTGATGGATGGATATTTTCCACAAACGAAATTTATTAATATTAATCTTGCAGAAGTAGAAATATTGTGATCATATTCAGTAATTCTGCATTCACTAATAAGTTGTTTTCATTACTACATTTTGTTTACCTTCAAACATTGTACGAATTTAATTTATTTGGTGTAATATAATTTATTCTACCTTTATATAAAAGCATTATAATTTGTTCTACCTATATCATCACATACGATTGGGTCTGGTGGTATTAAAGGTTATACCTATTTTATTCAGACACCAACAGCTAGCAGTAAATATCTGTAATAGTATTTTTATTTTATTAAATTTAATCAAGGTATCAAAAAATAAAAAAATATTTTTTGGAGTGGGCTACCCTTATCACTTAGAGGTGTACAAAATAACCTATTCTCAGACCTCTGAGTATGCATATACGGATTTTAATATAGTTTTTAGCAATAGAGTGATTCAAGAAATCATACTTAATTCTCAAGGAATTAACCAAGATCACCGCACGCCATTGGTAGGGAATTCAGCCCCATAAGCAGAAACATAAGTGGTCCCAGACAGTGCGGCTTCAGAGGAGCTTCCTCCCGCGTACACTTAGTTTGTAGAATTAACTTTCTGCGAGGACTTTTCAAGAGATTTACAGAATGGGGTTTTTCAAAAAAAATTTCAAAGTTCTTGAGTAATTCGCACGTGACACCCTGGCGTTTCAGACATCCATGTCCTGCGGTAACCGTTTACAATCAGATGGGCTAAATTATTATTTGCCACTTTCGTATTAAAAAATTAGATTAAATTAAATATAGAACCAATTTGAAGGACCATAATTTGAAAAATACTATTTCTAATTGACATAGATCAGAGGTAATAAAATATATATATATAGAGCATAGAGATCCTCTTCTTTTAGGTCTGATAAAAAAAAACTTCATTTATTCTTGTACCAAGAGTTGTTTTATATTACAATGTATCTTTACTACCTACATAGTAATTAATAACGTAGCTTGCGTACTTTCTTATTTATAATAAATCTCAGCTCAGTTTTTTCAGAGCAATGAGATTAATGACCCATCGGGAACTATTAAAACAGTTTTGATTTGGGAGCGAGATAAATATAAAAATTCAGAATGTATCGAGATGAGTTTCGAACGAGTTTCGGTAGTAGCAATTAACGAATATGTACTTGTATGCAAAGTAGCAGCAATTAATAACTTATTTGTGTACTTTGTGTACAAAGTGTATAAGTAAAGTGGTAAAATTATAGTAAAATTATGCTATCAAATAGATTTTTAAAATTCACTAACTTTAACAAAGTCAAAATTCTTACCTCCGCATTAATGGTCGGTGGCATCAAAATCTTCTTCTGTGGCGGAGATCTCAACACCACATTCTCGTCCCTTATTATAATCTGTGGCTCCATTGCCAGCAACTTCTTCTTGCATTCTTGCATCTGTAGACATTCCTTGTCTTTCCTTGACAACACCGATTCTGATGAAGCGTGCTTGGAAGAACACACGGATGTATTCTTGCTTGATAGTTTTAAACTATCAATTGATGCCGTCATTTTGGCACTTTCTTTCCCGTTTGATGATGCCATCTTTTTTATTTATGAAAATTTAATTTACTACATAGATTTTTGTGGTGTTTCACAAGGAGATATATTAGGTCCCAAACATTAAAATTTTGTAAATTTATAGAAATGTTCGTATATAATTTTAATAGTATTTAATAGTCTTTTTAAACTTTTTTACACTTTAGACTTTTAAGTAGTATATTTTTTTTATTATTCTTGCCATAGTATTTTTAAAAGTAACTAATATATGTAGACAAGTACACAGACTAAAAGACAATTTGTAATGATTTATGAGGCCTATGACTCAATCCATACTAATATTACAAATGCGCAGGTATGTTGATTGTTTATTATCTTTTCAATACAAAGCGACTGAATCATAACGATGCATATATTTCTACCAGCAAGTCTATTCTGAAATTTAATCTTAACATCGATTTCACTTCTATCCATTTTTGTATTGTTCTTTTAAATAATAAGTATTTTTATTGACCACAAACTGTAGAACTTATTCTTTCCTGGAGTATAATTGTAGAGTATAAAAGAGCGAAGAGGAGCAATCTAATATCATTGGATCAGGATTAGTTTCTCGAGTGGACCGGGTGATTGATATCACGAACTCTTGAGTTTAAGTCAAGGTAGTAAAAGCTCGGCCAAGATGCTATCAATATCAAAAACTTGGGTACTAAGCGGTAGGTTGACGGTCCCGGTGTTATAACAATTTAACACACCGCTTTACTTCCGGTGACGGTTGCGGGTTCGATTCCTTATACGATACAAATATTTATATTCACAAATATAATTCTTTGTATCGGTGTTGGTATTTTTTATTTATATTATTATGTATGTATTTACGAAAGAAATGTATCTAAGTATTTATATCAGTAGTCTACCTAAACATGCTGAGCTTGGAACTAGATGGCGCTGTGTCAATTGTCCAGGGATATTATTATTACTTACTTCTTATCTAATTTATAATGATTTAAAGAATAATACAACAAATCTTTTCAACAAAACATTCATTTTCAAATATAAATTAGAAAAGAAATAGGTAACAGACGAGAGACTGTTGCCACCGTTAGTGAATTATGTTAAGTAATTAAAATAGCCTAAATTATGCTTAATTGAGTTAATCTTACCCTTGTCTGGTTTTAATTTATTTAAGCCTTGATATTACCAGTGAGAAAAATGAGCCGGTCGAGGCTGATCTTCACTTTTATAGGCAGTTTTTGTTGCTATGAAAGAGCTAAATTACTGTAGCGAAGTCCTTGATGAATTTTTGTTTGCGAAGTCCTTGATGAATATTTGGCTATAGTTTAGTTGAGTTATGCTATACTAGTTTTTATAGTTTTTTTATACATCTTCAAAATTTGTAGAAAAAGGTTCAGTCAAAAATCAGCTCCGCTCAGGAGCCATTGGTCGGCATACGCTGAACCAGGTCCTTTTGCCGCCTTTAAAAAAGTATCTTTTAAATGTATTTCTTTCGGTTTATCCTTTAAATTATTCTTATTTACATTGAAAGTCCAGTTACATAAAAATATTCTGATTCTTCACCACAAAAAGCAATGAAACGAATGGATGAATAGCCATACGCGTCTGAAGAAGCGTGTTTACGACTTGTTCCAAAAATATTTGTAAAACATGTTTAGGTGCTTTCACGAAAACGGTATGCTGGTCTATTCCTGTATTCATAATGCGGATGATTTGTGGATAAAATATTGAAGTACAACCTCAAAACATGCCAACGGTAATGTACAGTTGCATGAGAATATATCTGACATGTTTTGCACGGCTGTAACTAAGAATTGTCGACGACCTCGGTGGTCTAGTGGCTTATTCACTACACACTCGGTGGTCATTTGTATTTATTATGTATGTACAAACAAATATAATGTATCTATCTGTCCATTTATGTCAGTTGTCTAGTATTCATAACACACGCTCTGCTTAGTTTGGGCCTAGATGGCGCTGTGTTGAAATTTCCTGGGATATTATTACTTTTTTTAGTTGTCTTTTTAGAATAAGTAGACATATCAAATAAATGTAGATGTTTATGAATGAGAATGGATGGATGTTTGTTACTCTTTCACACAAAAACTACTGCATGGATTTAAATGAAACTATAAACATATATATATGTTATTTTATGCAATACAGTCATTCAAATTTTCTACAATAAGACATACTAAACTGAAATTCGTTTAAAAATGCAATATAATCCACTGGTCTGAGTGTACTCGCCGCCATGTTGACACTGTTTATTTTGCTGGCCCGCCTCGCGATAGAGTTGTAAATATCGGCAACACTCGCCTTCCAGCATCGCTACGTAAACAAACATTTTCTTGGCAAAGTAAAATCTTTGGATGGATTACATTAAGTTTTCTCATGTTCTGTTAAACATAAAACATGTTCATTGATGTTTTATGTTAATTATAATAATAGTAATATCTCAGGGCAATTCACACAGCGACATCTTGTCCTAAGCTACGAGTTTGTGTTAGTTGTCTAACTGATAGTTATATTTAGATACGTTTCTTTTGTAAATCAATACAAATAAATAAAATTGAAATGAGTGAATTTATAATTATAAATTAACAGCTTCACTAAATGTATATGAAAGTATATACGGTGTCTACTACAAAAAAACTCGGCTGTTTATATATAACTTATCTCTGAAACAGGTGGACCGATTTTAATGGGACTCTTACTCGCAGATAGCTCATGTTGTATGGAGTAACTTAGGCTACTTTTATATCAAAATTATTACAAAAATATTTGTATATTTTATACCTATACTTATTTTTTATTAAAATAAATTCAATGTATTTTATTAAAAAATAAGTATAGGTAATTTCACACGATCAAACTCGTGGGAAATATCTAGTACATACATAAACATAGAAAATACTAAGACCAATACAAACAATCATACTTATAATACAAATGTTTGTACCAGCGAGGAATCCAACCTATATGGTTACGCGTAAGAAGTAAGGCGATGTGTAAATCTCAAGACCATCGAGGTCGTCGAAAAATGCAAGTAGTGCACGAAATGGTACAATATGGTACAGTCCAATGTCGATCGATCGGAACTGCTTTCAAGATAGCACCGGCCGACATTGACGTTAGCGAGAAAGCAAGTTAACCGACTTAGACTCTAGGCAAAATAATTGAATCACCTAAGTAGGTGATGTTAGTTTTCGACCGCGTCAAGCAGATTTGGACTGTATCCAAATACTAAATCGATATACACACATCGATGCAGTAGGAAGTATTAGTAGGTTCATACCTAACATTGCTTTAAAAGGATTTTTCTTATATAGCTAAAAGGGTAAACAATCTGACCATTCACGTGATAGTAAGTGATCATTATTTCCTATGTACGTAAACAAATATTATAATATAAAAAACGAACTTCGTTATATGTCCATTTGGCGCACCAAAATTGAAATGGGAGTATGCGTGAACCGCCAGTTTTCAAATAAAAAAAATATCATCAAAAGAAACCATCAGAGGAACTTACAGAGCGTATATCTGGATTGTGGAATAAACTAGATACCAAGGTTTTCTCGAGAGACTTACAGCATGGGGTTTTTCAAGACATAGTACATTAATTAAATGAGCTTTATCAATGGTCGGCAACACGATGTGACACTCAGGTGTTCCAGGCGTCCATAGGCTACGGTAACACATAGGCTGTATGATTGTTTGCCAAAAAATTGTACTTTGCAAATAATTAGAATTTGAACTATAGTTAGGATAAATTAGGGTTCTATATTCTTTGCCACATATCAACCCGTGATAAATGATAAGGAATACCTGAAGGATTTACAGTTATCCGCAGAAACTCCACAGAGATTTCTACACAGATATGGCTCAAAAGTAAATTGTGTTTCCTCTCGTGCGCTTGTCCACGGTCATTCGAAACGAAACTAGCAAACTTGAGATTAGACTTCCGTTTATATCTAAGTATTAAGCTTATTGAATTATATTCACTTTGTGCTCGTTAATTTAGGTTTTATATGCTACTAGCTTTTATTCGCAGTTTCATCTACTTGTTTGAGATATGGGATAGCCTATGTCGTATGCGTTCGTAATATAGTCCATATTTATGGCACGATTAATTAGGATAGGTCCAGCCGTATAGACTGATAATGTAACGAACAGACAGAGACTTTGCGTACATAAAAGTAGTCTAAGTTACTCCTTATTACATCAACTACCTGCCAAAAAGAGTCCCGTCAAAATCGGTCCAGACATTTCAGAGATTAGCCGGAACAAACAGACTGACAAACAGACAAAAATTGTAAAAAATGTTATTTTGGTGTATGTACCGTATTTATATGGTTGTACAATTAAGTTATGTAAATAAATTTTCATGTTAATAAAGTATATATATTCATATGCATGTAGTAAAATACGATTATTTCAATATTACAAACAGACACCCCAATTTTATTTATATCTATAGATAAAAAAAATATAGATTCATTCATTGAACGCTATCAATTCTCACATATCACACAGCAATCGGCATATAATGTCAATTACTCACCAAACGACGAAGCAAAGCTTATTCTAAACTACTCACTAAACGATTACTTCAATGACAATGAATGACAAATGAGCAATAGTAGAACATGCACGGGATTTTCACTTAATGTTAGACATATGTAGACACCTAAAATAAAATTTCATGCCAATTTTTCTAAATTGAATTGACTGAACGGAAAAAAAATTAATACAAAAAACATGACATTCATAAGCTAAAATGTGCTATATGAATAAATGTTTTTTGATATGAATTCCCGTGATACATTGGACACAAACGCCGACACCCACTTCCAAAACAAACTTTGAGTAGAATTTTCAACTTAATTTCCTGTTATATTATCAGGTCTACGCGTATTGAGAGTTGATAATAATTAAATTTTGTAGATGGTGATGAATTAACTGAAGATTGTAATTAAATTTCAAGAGATATAACTTGGGGCGTTTCGTTTGAGAACTTATACGTGTGTGTAACG